TCTTAGCCAGCATAATTACTGATGAAAGATGAGGTCCAACAGCATCTGAGTGACCATACCTTTCCATCCCTGCCTACAGAGCTTTCCTATGTCTTTGACAGACTTGAAATGACACAGCTACTTTCACAAAAAGAGTTGTAAGGAATTAATGGCAAAGAGACAGAGGAAGGTAGGTCTTCTCTGAGTGTGCAGGTAGTGATAAGGAGAAGCCATGCTTGCTACATGTTGACTTGTTGCTCTGACACGACCTAAAGTCACCTCTGTGTCAAAACTGATATAATGTAGAGCTGCCTTCCCTAACTGGACATCCTCTGAACAAACCCCATAATCTCCAGCCAACATGGCCATGCCTCGCATTACAACGTTAATTCGTTCCAGCGAAATTGCTGTAGAGAACGAAAACGTCGTAAAGCGATTTTAAAAAGCCCATAGAAACGCATTAAAACCTGGTTAATGTGTTCCTATGGGCTGGAAACTCACCGTCCAGCAAAGATCCTCCATAGCGCGGCCATTTTCGCTGCCTGTGTAGCGAAAAATCCATCCCAAAAAACAACATGCGGCCATTTTGTTTACCCAGTGGCCGTTTTGAAACCGCCGATCAGCTGTTAAAAAATCATCACTTTGCGAGAATCAGTTCCCAAAGCATAGGGAACATCGTTTTGCGATCGCTTTTGCGGTTTCCTTGTTAAACGGAGAGCTTGACGTCGATGTTTTTGCAATCTGTTATGATAGTGTAGCTCAGCCTTACAAGGTAGGATGGGTGGGTACAGCAATCTTTGCCACTCCCAGATGTGATCTGAGTGGAAAGCCTACTTCAGAATCAACTGAGTTTTGGTGTACCAAACAGTCACAACAGAGGAGAGGGATATGTGGTGCAGGAGAGTCCCTCTGGATCAGTCTCAATGTTCATCATTCTGTTTCATATGGTGTCCAAGCAGGAACCTCTTGGGAAGTCTCCAAGCAGCATTTAGCCCTCTCGCATGTGCCCTAAGTGCTGATACTGAGAGGCCTTCCTCCTGCCAATAGCAGATACATTTCATGACCAGTAGCCCTTGATCATTGTCATCTGCATCTAGGAATATGTGGCATGCCAGTTCAGGAGACTGGCATACAGCAGTTTATGTATGTGTGCTGCGCGAAGATGTACATCCTTTTGTAAGGTTAGAGAAACCTGTTAGCCTTCAGACTATAGTTCCATAATCTTATTACCAATATATTCAGTGCTTGAGGGCAGATTGGAATTGTAGTCCAGCCATTTCTGGGAGTGGTGACAGTTTGATCACTTCTGACATTAGCTTTTTAAGCCTGAAAACGTGTGGGGTTTAAAAAGAAGTGAGGAAGTTAGGGCACACCTGTAAGTCCCCCATATCCCTTCCCCCCCCAAAAAAAACCCTGGACACTTTGAAGACCAATATGTTTGGTGCAAAGAGTCTGCGTAGGCACTGTAAGCAGTTGAAGATGCTTGTAGTAGTTCCATGATTAGCAGCCCTCTGTTGTCTGAACAGCTAACCCCAGAAATGCTGTGAGTTCATTTCATGTGCTTAGAGAAACTATGAAGGTCTTGGTGCTCAACATGGGAAAGGCTGCTGACTTCTAAGTGGTGGGGTGAGGACATGACAGGCAGGGCTTCCCCATCAGCATCACCCCTTTGAGTTTTACAGTACATGCATTCACCTTCATGGCTTGTTTCGGGGCTCTTGTCCACCCTAAATATTCTATCCATCAGTGTTAGTGTTGCTGGTAAGGCCTTTTGTGTTTGAAGTTGTACCCATGAATTTAGCAAAGTCTTGTGTTCATTGTGGCATTATTTTCAAATACCCTGTTTCACCAAAAACAAGACCTAACCTGAAAATAAGCCCCAGTATGATTTTTCAGGATGATCATAATATAAGCCCTACCCCCCAAAATAAGCCCCAGTTAAGTGAAACCCTGCCCTCCACCCTTGTGCAGCAACCAGAAGAAGATGACATGACTGAATAAATGTAGATGGTTGTACATGAAAAAATAAAACACCCCCTGAAAATAAGCCCTACTGTGTTTTTTGGAGCAAAAATTAATATAATTTTTGCCCTCTAGGGCAACATTTGAGGCTCCCAGGTCCTCACTCCATTCCTCTTACTATGCTTAGTCCACCTTTGCAGGGTCACATGAGAGTCATCACCCATCTTTCTGCTCACTTTGTGCATCAAACATTTCCCTTCATAACACTGGAAAAAATCTCCAGCTGCAGTGGCTGGAGTGAAGTGTGAGCAGAGGAGACGGTGCTCAAAATCCTTTTATAAATTCCATCAAGCATTTGCTAGATCCAGTTCTTGAAAATGTGGCAGAGAAAACATACAGACCCTGCAGGGATTCTAGCATTTTAAGGAAAATAAATAGAATTAAATAAAGAGATTCCTACTGTGCATGACTTTTTCTTCCTCCATGGCACTTCTGTTCACTAAATCCTGCTTGGTTGTGTCATCATGCTTAGAAACACAGAAATAGAACGAGGCAGTTTGGCCATGTAGAAAATCATTTTTATTTCCCATTTGAATGTTGTTTTCTTCTCAGCATGCTCTTAACTGTCATTCCATTTAACCCCCCTTTTCTCCTCTTGCCCATAGCGCACACTCTCTTCTGTCTCTTCCTCACCACAGATTCCTCTTGCCCCAGGATTTGGAAAAGTTACTTTTTGGGACTGCAGTTTCCAGGATCCATAGGTCATGTTGGCTGGGGGATTCCAAGTGGTGATTTCCAAAAAAGGATATTTTGAAGCTCTGCTTTGAGCCTTCCTCTCTGTCAATCTACTCTTTATTCCTCTCCTTTACGTCCTCTCCTTATGTTCTGCTTCCTTACTCACAGGTCTTTGCAGCACCGTCTGCTTCTGCCCTCCTCCCCGCTTTTCTTCTCATCATCCCATGCCAGCTTTTATCTCTTTTCAAGCCGTCATGGTTCCTTCCTTCCAACATTGGCCTCCTCACTTGCTTTCCTATAAAACCTAGTGTGATGCCTAAATTCAGTCTCATGTTTTGCTGATATACATGCTTCTTCTTTTTTTCTCCATTTGTTATTCTCTCAGCTAGTAAAGGAAACAATGTTCTTCCACTCACTGATCCCATCAATATATTACTCAACCTAGAACTTTGTTTCCCCCCTGTTCAGCTTCTTTCTCTGCACTCTAGGTCTTATTTCTTCCCCTTTCTTTGTACCCACCACACATCTATTTGCATGCCACTGTTTCCTCTCTTTTCTGTGTCTTCCATTTAAATTGCCTGCTTCTCTCTTTTTCCTAAGCAGCCGCACACATCGAATGCTTCTTATTCAAGCAGCCTAGCATTGTAGCAGAGATTGAATGGAACATGGTCCTTGATTATGTTTTATGCTAGTCTTCTCCTGCCTGGCAACCTCCAGCTGTAGTGAACCACAGTATTCTTCGCTTCTAGCAATTATAGTCATGCCATCCTAGTTGGGGATGATGGGTTCTTCAGTACAACACAACTAGAAGGCACCAATTCTTTATCAGTAGAAAAGCGTGTTTAATCATTAGATTATCAGACTACAGTATTCAAGTGTTGTGTCTATGTGGCTGGATGGATGGGCTGCTTCTTCAGCTGATGTGCTTCTCAGATTGATTCTCAGTTAAATGAACTGTGGTCTTTAGGTTATTTTATTTCAGTGATGACTTTGGGATATTTTACAGTTGTAACAGGTGGGTAAAATGTAGTAAGTGTGGAAAACTAGTGAGAAGATGAGCATTAGGAATGAAGATGTGTACTGATTTTTTAAAATCTCAGATGGAATCTATTCTGTCACCAGAAAATTCATGTTTTAAATGCACAAATACTGTAAATACAAGCCCACAATGTAAACAACAGTTCCACTTAATCAGTTCTCTACTTCTGGCTTATTGATAGTTTTCCTTTTGCAATGATTTCAAGCACTGCTGGGCATAGTGGTTTTCTGGTCTTGTATTTATATGTGGATTTAAAACATGAAGTGTTTGGTGATAGAGTATCTTCCACTTGAGATACAGAAAATGAGAAGTGGGTGTTGTAGGAATATGTGTGAGGGTATTTGATACATTCAGCAATAGAGACATGCTCAGAGACCAATAATTTATTGTGTTGATCAAAAACAACAACAAATACTTCCACCTTGCCAAGAAGATGCAATCCTGTGTATGTTCCCTTCAAAGAAAGCCCTCTTTTATGTAATACAGTGGTGCCTTGCTTAACGAGCGCCTCGCTGAGCGATGAAATCACTTAACGAGGCGCTCTGGGTCATCGCTGGAGCATTCGCTCAGCGATGGCCCCTATGGCGATTTTTCGCT